GAAAGAAAGAAAGAAAGAAAGAAAGAAAGAAAGAAAGAAAGAAAGAACTTGTAAGCAAGTCACTCAAATGGGAATGCCCAAATTTGATTTCCAGCTTCTTTTCTCATGTCTACTCAAGAAAGTCACAGAGTTGTGGAGTCCCTCATCAGCCATATGTGCAAAACATCTCAGCAATAATTAAGTGTGCTGAAATTGTGATTGTGGAAATCAGATAACTCTGAAATGAAGCCTCTCATGCAGAAGACGTTGGTGAGGGAGGAGTGAAAGAGAACACTAAAACAAGTTACTTACTGAGCGTTAACAAGCTCATAGTAAAATCCTAATGGAGATAAAGTTGTTTTGTTTTTCACCACAAGATAACTAAACAAGGACAACTTGCTTCTCTCCACTCATGGTTAACCTCACCCTTTTTGCTTCACTGCACATATGGTATTTGCAGTGAGTAAACCAAATGTAAACTGTAGATAGCACATCCCTAATAGGATGCCACGATGTGCATGCTCTTTAAATCAATTATATTAATCTTTTAATTAACATAAAAAGTTTTAACTGATGGTTTTGAAAGCTTCATTTCAAAAGGCTTCATTTTCCTAGGTGTGGATTGGCTTGCTTCACCTATAGGCACAAACATACAAAATCAAAGCCAACCTTTGAACTGGCAGATCTTTACTTCCACCTGCACGCTTTCTTAAAATGGAGAAAACCAGGGGCTGAACATGACCCTTCACAGTGATGGCTTTGCAGTAGTCTTACCACTCTCCTTAGTCAGTAGCTTCTGAAGATGGACATGGTGCCAAAACACCATAAGCTGCCATCTGTATCTGGGAGTGTCACAGGCTATGGGAGTTCTCTTCTGGGCCTTGAGAACCGCTGTGCCATTAAGGCTTAAACATACATATATTTAAGAGCCCACCACTGCCAGATGTTCGACTGAATGGAACATCTACCATGGGCTCTCATGTTTGAAACCTCAGAGACAGAAGGAAGTCAAGCCCTACAGCAAGTACACCACTGAGGCTTGCTCTCTAATTTTGCTTCCTCTGCAGAGAGCACATGGCTTTGCCCAGTCCAGCAAAGAAAGCAATCTGAAGCATGGAGAAAATGAAAGAAAGGTTCACCACAAAGAAAGAGAAGTTCATTACAATATCACAACTTTTTCTCAAACTTTAAGCAATATTTCAAAAGCCTACTGTCATTGGGCATGGGTGGGCGATGAGTGCCATACACTGCAAAACTCAGAATGGACTTTCCAGTGCTGCACAGTGGGTCCAATGAAACGACTGAACAGAATGCTGAGGTGCCAAGAGCTGCCAGCTCTCCTCTGTGGGGGTTTCCTTAGACAGTCAGATTTCAAGTCTTCATGGATGGATGAGGTTCACAAGCTAAGTAAAGAGGGTGGAAAAAAGTACCAATTATGCAGACTTGCAGAGAAGGTCTCAAAAATAACTCCCTAAGAGCATTCATAACTTCTAAAATATTTTGTCATGCTAGGACCTTGCAATTTTGTGTGTAGGCTCACTGGTGGGAATACACAAGTTTGAGTTTGGGTACAACTACCTATTACCATGATAACCAAGTCCCAACAGTTTGTTAAAGCTTCCTTGGACCACACACTGCTTCCTATTCTGTACCCGAGTCAGACAGTATCTCCTCCTCCTACCCTCTCCTTCCATTCCCATTCTGTCTGTAGGGGCAATCCCCATGACCTCCTGGCCCTTGGCAAGGCAGGCAGTGAGGGCAGAAGAGCAAGCAGAGATGGCACCAAGCTACAAATGCTCAAGTGCAGTTACTTGCTGCCAGCAGCACATGTCCCCAGAGCTGCTGGGGCTGGAGATGGTGACATGGCCACATCAGGGATTCAGCACAGGGTCAGCAGGGACCACCAGGCCAGTGCCAGTAGAAACAGAAATGATGCTTTACATACAGCAGAACCAGAACTTCCCCATCATGGCTGGGGCTGCACTGGCCAGTGCTGCTCTTGGCTGTGTCAAGGTGGAGGAGGAGCTGCAGCTTTCTTGGAAGTGGCAGAGTGGGTGACCCACCATGATGAGAAGCACTCTGTAACCCCTGTGCTAGCACACCTGAAGAAGGGAAAACATTGTTTTTGGCTGCTCAGGTCACACTGACTTGGAAAAGGTACTGCCTTTACCAACTTCCCAGTTGGAAGGGTATGAATAGTCCATGATTTACAGAGGTGTCTAATTAATATCCAGTGCACATAAAAAGAAAACTATGCGTTGCTGTGCGCTTCAAGCTGTGGAACAGAAGCTGTCACTTCTCCAATTAAGAAAAAAAAAGAGCGGTTTATTAAGCACAGTTGTGGGAACATAGTTTCAGTCTTCAGTGGGCTCATCTGAATGTTTTTCCATTTTAGTTCATGTAAGTTCATGCCCTTTGGGTTTCACACAAAGCCCTAGGGTCTGAGCAACTCAAAATCTCAAAATCAAAATGTCAAGTTGAAACGAAACCATAAAAGGTATTTGGATTTGCATGAAAACGGGCCCAGATTTGCTTCAGGAGTTCCTGAAGCCTGGTAAGGCTTTTGAAGAGTCTAATCTGAGTTTTGTGGTTTCAGTACAGACTGAAACCAGCGCAAGAGAACAGATGTGCTCCTTTCAGGAAGCCAAAGCAGAGGAGAATGATTAAGAAGCTATGAGAACAAGAACCACAGGCGAAAACAAATATCTAAAACCAGAATTTCAAGTGCCGAACACAGAATATTAGGAACTAAAAAGACATGGTCCACATTTAAACACTACCAACACTTTCAGGTCCTCAACGTGACTCTGCAGTTTGGATGAAAGTCCAGTCATAACAACACCACGTGCCCTTCTGACCATATGTAAATAGCTTTACTATTGCATAGCATAACATGCATCCTGAGAAGCACAAATCCTCTAAAACACTTGTTTTTTATTGGGGATCTTGTCACCTTAAAAATAAATCCATACTTGCAACAGTCTAGCCACAGCAAGGAAAAAAGTAAAAGAAAAAAGAATAATCTGCTGCTTTTATTCTCTCTGGCTTACATCTATAAACCTGTCTCAACATCAAATATTTCAAATTCTGGCTTTGTTCTATTTTTAAAAAATGCAATTCTAATTTCATATACTCTATATTTATTCTTATTCTAAATTTTTCATGACATAAAAGTAAGCATATTACAAGTCGGTTTAATGAATCACCTGAGAAGATGTAAACATAAAAGTAACTTTAATTGAGAAAATAACATTTCTTTCCATTAATGGTCTCTACATTGCATTCAATTACACTCTACATTACCATCACTTACACTGACAGGATGCAGCGGAGGTTACTTCCTGAGTAGGGGCTGATGGGGCTAATTGATCTCTTTAGATTTAACCTCCTGGCTGAACAACTGAGCATCTGAAAGACATTATCATATCATGACAATCAAATGTCATAAATAACATAAGGGAAAACCGTGAAACTTACAACTGCCTTGTTTTAAGAGCATTTTGCCTCTTAAATATGGCCTAAATACGTCTAACTTGAACATGTAACCTGCAAATTAAACTTTCTTTATGCATTTTCTGGGAAGAAAATAAAGATCAACAGAATAAAATATGAATTTGGCTGAAATGCTTCTTTCCCTATCAGCAGGGTACTAAGTTTCACTGCTTAATACTTCATCTTGCCAAGGAAACCAAATAGTTTCCCATAGCTTAAGTATTAGGTTGGATTCACAAGAACTCAGAGTGCTACCAGAATGCCATGCATCATGCACTGGGGAGCTGTGACAATCCCCACTGATGTTCTCATGCAGAACCTCTGTAATGGCAGCTCCAGCATCAGAACATTTTGTTTCCATGGTTTTCCCAACAGGATAAAACAGTATTTTTGATTCCAAATTTCATCTTTCGCCAACATTTCACACTCCAGCATTTTTTATTTATGCAGTGTGCTGTACT